ACACTTTTCAAAATCAAATTTAAAAAAATGCAGCACTAATCTATAAACAGTGATTCATGAAAAAATTAAAAGAGTGATCAAAAAATAAAAGTTTAATATAGATAAAATATTTGTGCTTCAATATTGCAAAGTGCAGCCAATAGAAAAAGGCATTCAATAAGACTGAAGGGAAAACTCCTCAGAGATCTGGTGGTGATGAAAGTAGTTAGGATGATTACTGTAAGTGTTTGGCTTTCAAATTAATGAAAAAGCCAGCAGCGCTTTAGGAGTTACCCCCAAACAGATGCACAGAAGATGGAAGGACGACAGCGCTGTGACCCTCGGCTCCGCTCCAACTCCACTTTCAAGCAGCATGGGCATATAACATACAAAAGCTCCTAGTGCACTATATCCTTGTGTGAAAGATGTATTTAAGATGAACTTATTGCATTCACGTGACGTCACCAACGCTTAGCGGATGCTGGCTGAAAGGAATGTGTTGCTGTTTTTGTGATTGCTGCAGATTTGAAATTATGGTGCCTGCCTACTTTTAACCTGATGTGAGTGTTGTATCTGTTAACCTGTGCCAGCAGCTTTATTCATTTGTTATATAAATATTTTCTTAATCTTGGCACAGAAAATAACATGTTTATGTTGAAATTACACACTGTAGAGCTCAGTGAGGAGAGCTCTGAGAGCTGATTGGAGGGAAGAGACACACCCCCTCCACACAGCACATAGGAACAGAGCTGAGGCTGTCAATCTGCTGAAGGTCCCTCCCCTGTCACCATTTTTTGGTGTCAGGAAAACTTGTCAGTAGTGACTCGTACTGATAGCAGCGGATGGTTGCAGCAGACAGAAATGACACTCTAGACTGAGACAAGTACACACTATAGAGGGATATGCTTTGTTCAGATTTCGTGTCTGAGGTTTTCAACTACTTTAAGCCTAGGTTCACACATATGCGGTGTAAAATCGCTCAGATTTGTAGGGAGCCTATGCAGTGCGAATTACATGCTGTTCTGTTTCAATAGTAGTGCATTTCTGATGCGCTTTTACTACAGCTGGTGTTTTTGGAGCTGCCTTCTGCATAGGTTTTTTCATACAGAGTCAGTTATGCATGCCTCTGCATCCCTCTCCCCTCCCCTCTCTCTTCCCCCCTCTCTCTCATTCTCCCCCTCTCTCCCTCCTTCTACTCTCCCTCCTTCTCCCCCCTCTCTCCCTCTTCTTCCCCTCTCTCCCTCCTTCTCCCTCTCTCCCCCTCTCTCCCTCCTTCTCCTCTCCCCCTCTCTCCCTCCTTCTCCCTCACCCCCTCTCTCCCTCCTTCTCCCTCTCCCCCTCTCTCCCCCCTCCTTCTCCCTCTCCCCCCTCTCACCCCCTCTCCCCTCTCTCTCTCCCTCTCCCCCCCTCCCCTCTCCCCCTCTCTCTCCCCACCTCTCTCTCCCCCCTCTCCCTCTCCCCCCTCTCTCCCCCCCCTCCTCTCTCTCCCCCCTCTCTCCCCCCCTCTCTTCCCCCCTCTCTTCCCCCCTTTCCTCCCCCAACCTCACCTCCTTCTCCCTCTCCCTCCCCCCCCCTCTCTCCCTCCTCCCCCACCTCTGTTCCCCCCTCCCCCCCTTCTCTCTCCCTCTCTCCCTCCCCTCCCCCCTCTCTCCCCCCCTCTCCCCCCCCTCCTCTCCCCCCCTCCCCCCCTCCCCCCCTCTCCCCCCCTCTCCCCCCTCCTCCCCCCCCCCTCCCCCCCTCTCATCTCCCCCCCTCTTTCTCCCTCTCTCCCCCTTTCCCTCCCCCTCTCCCTCCCCCTCACTCCCTCTCCCTCCCCCTCTCACCCTCTATCTTCCCCTCTCCCTCCCTCTCTCCCCTCTCCCTCTCCCCCCCTCTCTCCCCCCCTTTCTCTCCCCCTCTATCTCCCCCTCCTCTCTCCCCCTCTCCTCTCTCTCCCCCCTCTCTCCCCCCCTCCTTCTCACTCCCCTCTCCTCTCCCCCCTCTCCCCCCTCTCTCCCCTCTCTCCTCTCCCCCCTCTCCCCCTCTCTCCCCCTCTCCCCCCCTCTCCCTCTCTCTCCTCTCTCCCCCTCTCTCCCCCTCTCTCTCCCTCTCTCTCCCTCTCTCTCCCCTCTCTCTCCCTCCTCTCCTCTCTCCTCTCCCCCCCCCCCCTCTCCTCTCCCTCCCCCCCCCTCTCCCCCCCCCTCCCCTCCCCCCCCTCTCCCCCCCCCTCTCCCCCCTCTTCTCTCCCCCTCCTCCCTCTCTCTCCCCCTCTCCTCTCTCTCTCCCTCCTCTCCCTCTCCCCCCCTCTCCCTCTCTCACCCCCTCCCCCTCTCCCTCTCTCTCCCCCCTCTCCCTCTCTCTTCCCCCCTCTCCTCTCTCTCTCCCCCCTCTCTCCCCCTCTCTCCCCCCTCTCTCCCCCTCTCTCCCCCCCTCTCTATAATCCCCCCTCTCCCCCCCCTCTCTCCCCCCTCTCTCCCCCTCTCTCCCTCCCTCTCTCCCTCCCTCTCTCTCTCCCCTCTCTCCCCCCCTCTCTCCCCCTCTCCCTCTCTCTCCCCCCCTCTCTCCCCCTCTCTCCCCCTCTCTCCCCCCTCTCCCTCTCCCCCCTCCCCTCTCTCTCCCCTCCCCCTCTCCCCCTCCCCCTCTCTCCCCTCCCCCTCTCCCCCCCTCCCCCTCTCTCCCCCCCCAACCCCCTCTCTCTCCCCCTCTCTCTCTCCCCCTCTCTCTCTCCCCCTCTCCCCCTCCCCCTCTCTCCCCCTCCCCCCCCCTCTCTCCCCCCTCTCCCCCTCTCTCTCCCCCCCCTCTCTCTCCCCCCTCCCCCTCTCTCTCCCCCCTCCCCTCTCTCTCCCCCCTCCCCCTCTCTCTCCCCCCTCTCCCCCCTCTCCCCCTCTCCCTCCTCTCTCCCCCCCCTCTCCTCTCCCCCTCTCCCCCTCTCCCCCCTCTCTCTCCCCCTCTCTCCCTCCCCCCTCTCTCCCTCTCTCTCCCCCCTCTCCCCCCTCCCCCCTCCCCCCCTCCCCCCTCCCCTCTCTCCCCCTCTCTCTCCCCCTCAATCCGCCATCTGAATTCGCATCCGAATCCGGACATGCGTGAACCAGGGATAAAGGAAACCAATGCTAAGACATTTCTGTTGGCCGCTATTGCTGCCATGCTTCTGAAATTGCTAATTGCCTGGATGTTGTGGTAATCCAGAGTCTTTATACTTTCTCAGTCACTGACCCAGAAACAAGATAACATGATGTGAAAAGATCATTTGTACGAGGGAAGTGACCTAAATATTCCGGTTCCCCAGATCTTACCAGTGACAGCAGTCTGATGCAAGAATCGCATTAGTGAAAGCTCACAATTTCCCATTGACCAGCCTTTCTTAAAGAAACATAAAACCCCAAAACAAAAGTGTATTAAAATGAAGCTCACCAATTCTTAGATGTGGTGGCTGCATTAGTTTTTTTTTTTATATTTACTTAGAGATTCTGTGGATAGATCTGTTATTTTTCAACTTACTTAAAGGGCTCACCCACGCCAGCCTTGGTCCCTGAAGAGCCATCCGCTTTCAGATGGCTCTTCAGAGAGCGCTTGACAGGTGGTAAATAGGTGTTATATCACCTCCTTACTGCCTGCTTTAACTCCCCGATCCCCATTGCACGCAGTTGCAGAGCCGCCCCTTTTATTGGACAATGAGGTATAATTCCTGCTGAGATTGCAAAGCATCATGGCTGCGGCATGTGCGCACACGGCTCTGCAGCTGAGAAGGGTAGTGGTTGATGGGTGGTGAAAGTGGAGCTCAACTGCAGGGTTTTACCATCCACCCAACCCTTACAGACCAAGCTGTACAGACAAAGTGGCAGTTAGAGGATTAGGGCAAACCATGTACCACTGGCAGGGGTGCTTACAATGACCCGCTTTTATCCCAAAAGGAACAAAACGTTTTGCTGTAACCGATTTCAATCTGTTAGCTGGAGTTCAGCTTCAAGCCTATCTAAAGTCGGCCATTCATGGATCAAAATTCGACGGCTTCTTCAAGAATGGCTGAATTTTGATCCAGTATGGGCAGGCTGGTTGTATAGAGGTTGATCTGCCAATCGACTTCTGTACAACCAGCCTGTTGGATTTTTCTTGAACGATCAGTGCCGCTGGCTGTAGCTGGCAGCACTGATCAGTGTGTTCTGACATCGGGGAGGTCTCCCCACCATTGGATGTGATTTCCCCATCCACATCGATGGGGGGGGGGGGGGGGGATCGAGTCATTTTGTTCAGCCTGTTTGGCCAGCTGGACACTTTTCTTTAAAAAAAAACAAACCCCCCCCCCCCCAAAAAAAAAAAGCACTATTAATGTACAGGACGGGGTGGAGAGAGGAGGGATGAGGATCCGCTTTAATACCATTTTAACCTTTTAAATAGTGATGCCTCGATACCCTTTTATGATTGGCGAGTACCGCTACGTTCGGTCACGTTCTCACCGATGCCGAGTACTGATACTTTGCGGTGTGTTGTATGGACGCAAATTGCACCGCAAACAATAGCATGTTTCCTGTCGAAATCGCATGTGGTTTTCCCCTCTGCTGGTCATAGCCTGAGTTCACACAGGAGTGGGAGAGAAGGGCGTGTGGGGATATATATCTTGGTGGCAGATGCTCCATATTCTCAGCTGTAGGAGAGGAGAAAGCTGCGTGGACTTGAAATCACATGGATGGTGCTGGCCAATTAGAAGTTACCTAGCCCATACTGTCATCCCTGCATAGAGAGGAGAAAAGGCTGCTGCACAGGTCTGGGGATTTGAAATCCCTGTGGCTTTCTTTCTTTTGCTTGCAGGGATGACAGTACGGGCTAGATGGCTTCTGATTGGTCAGCACCGTCCATGTGATTTCAAGTCCCAGTGACTTTCTCTCCTCTGCTACAGCTGAGAATCCAGAGCATCTGCCTCCATGTTGGTATACATCCCTACATGCCCACTCTCCGCTCAGCATGAGATTGGTTCAGGAAGGTTTCCCAGACCCCTCCTGTGTGAACTCAGTCCCACCCCTCATGCCAGGGTACTAGGTGTCATCCTAGACTCCCATCTGTCCTTCCAGCCCCAAATCCATTCACTGTCCAAATCATGTAGACTTCACCTCCACAACATTTCCAAGATACGCCCGTTCCTAACCCCGGAAACCACTAAGCAACTCATTCACTCCCTTGTTATATCTCGCCTTGACTATTGTAACTCCCTCCTCATTGGCTGACCTCACCGCAGGCTATCCCCACTACAGTCCATCATGAATGCTGCTGCCAGACTCATCCACCTTACTAACCGTTCTGTATCTGCCACCCCTCTCTGCCAATCCCTCCACTGGCCTCCAATCAGTGTCCTCCATCCCTCTCTGCCAATCCCTCCACTGGCCTCTACTCAGTGTCCTCCATCCCTCTCTGCCAATCCCTCTACTGACCTCCACTCAGTGTCCTCCACCCCCCTCTGCCAATCCCTCCACTGGCCTCCACTCAGTGTCCTCCACCCCCCTCTGCCAATCCCTCCACTGGCCTCCACTCAGTGTCCTCCACACATCTCTGCCATTCCCTTCACTGGCCTCTACTCAGTGTCCTCCACCCCTCTCTGCCATTCCCTTCACTGGCCTCCACTCAGTGTCCTCCACCCCTCTCTGCCATTCCCTTCACTGGCCTCTACTCAGTGTCCTCCACCGCTCACTGCCAATCCCTCCACTGGCTTCTGATTGCCCAACGGATAAAATTCAAAACACTAACACTGACGTATAAAGCATTTATAACTCCGCCCCTAATTACATCACCAATCTTGTCTCCAAATATCACCCAAACCGTCCTCTCCACTCCTCGCAAGACCTCCTACTCTCTAGCTCCCTTGTCTCCTCCTCCCATGCTCGTCTCCAGGACTTCTCCAGAGCTTCCCCCATCCTCTGGAACTCCCTACCTCAATCCATTAGACTATCGCCTACTCTGCTCACTTTTAGGTGATCTCTGAAAACTGATCTCTTCAGGGAAGCCTACCCCGCCCTCAGCTAATACTGTAATCCTCTACTCTTCCAACCAGTCCACCCCCCACAGTTATTACCTCCTGTACCACTAGCCCCTCCTTCCTAGATTGTAAGCTCCAAGGATCAGGGCCCTCGAACCCCTCGTGTATTGAATTGTATTGTTACCGTACTGTCTCCCACCATAATGTAAAGCGCTGAGCAAACTGTTGGTGCCATATAAATCCTGAATAATAATAACTCCGGCTATGACAAGCCTTGGTTCACACAGGAGCAGTGGGGAAAGCACATGCGATTTGTAAAGGAATCACTTTCCTGTTCAGATCTCATGGTGTTCTTTGCCGGGCAGTTTACAGTTTGTATTGACCCAAATCGCACTGCAAAGTATTGGTTTTCCGGTGTTAAGAGCATTTTCACAAGTACTTGTGAAAATACCTGGTATCGGCACCAATGTCAAAATCAGCGCATACCTACCTTGAGGCTAGGTTCACATACATGCGGTACTTTGCTTGTGATTTGCACAGGAACCGCACCGCATTCCTTTGCGAAACACATGCTATTATTGTGCGGTGCGGTTGGAGTCGTACATTTTGTATGGCTCTAATCGCACCCATGCCAAAAAAGCGCAGGACCCTTCTTTGGGTCCGCACTAGAATCGGATCGCATGGGTATTCACACCTATGGGATCCGATTCTGCACATCGCATCGCGTTTGGCGGACCAATTTCGGGGTGTCGTTAACATACGCACCCGCAGCGCTTCACATGAATGGGGTGCGATTCTGATACGGTGCGGAATTCGCACAGAAAACGCAAATGCCACACCGCATCATTGTGAACCCGGGATAAAATATGGAGGAACCACTGAAATAACTTTCTGGTCTTAGGAAAGTCAAAGATCAAACAGCCTTTTTACACAATGCGGAGGGTTAACCCCTTAGGTTCCCCAGTGAGTATAACAAGCATGCTTTGCTGCATCTACAGAATGTGCAGAGTGACTCCTAGAGCTCTGTACTATCAGCAGATGGATTGGTAGAAGAAGGGGAGGATCAGAGAAGACAGGATCAAACAGCCTTTTTACACAATGCGGAGGGTTAACCCCTTAGGTTCCCCAGTGACTATAACAAGCATGCTTTACTGCATCTACAGAATGTGCAGAGTGACTCCTAGAGCTCTGTACTATCAGCAGATGGATTGGTAGAAGGGGAGGATCAGAGAAGACAGGATCAAACAGCCTTTTTACACAATGCGGAGGTTAACCCCTTAGGTTCCCCAGTGAGTAGAACAAGCATGCTTTACTGCATCTACAGAATGTGCAGAGTGACTCCTAGAGCTCTGTACTATCAGCAGATGGATTGGTAGAAGAAGGGGAGGATCAGAGAAGACAGGATCAAACAGCCTTTTTACACAATGCGGAGGATTAACCCCTTAGGTTCCCCAGTAAGTATAACAAGCATGCTTTGCTGCATATACAGAATGTGCAGAGTGACTCCTAGAGCTCTGTACTATCAGCAGATGGATTGGGGACAGTATTAGAAGGGGAGGATCCGAGAAGCCAGGATCAAACAGCCATTTTACACAGTGCGAAGGATTAACCCCTTAGGTTCCCCAGTGACTATAACAAGCATGCTTTACTGCATATACAGAATGTGCAGAGTGACTCCTAGAGCTCTGTACTATCAGCAGATGGATTGGTAGAAGAAGGGGAGGATCAGAGAAGACAGGATCAAACAGCCTTTTTACACAATGCGGAGGATTAACTCCTTAGGTTCCCCAGTGAGTATAACAAGCATACTTTGCTGCATATACAGAATGTGCAGAGTGACTCCTAGAGCTCTGTACTATCAGCAGATGGATTGGGGACAGTAGAAGGGGAGGATCAGAGAAGACAGGATCAAACAGCCTTTTTACACAATGCGGAGGATTAACCCCTTAGGTTCCACAGTAAGTATAACAAACATGCTTTACTGCATCTACAGAATGTGCAGAGTGACTCCTAGAGCTCTGTACTATCAGCAGATGGATTGGGGACAGTATTAGAAGGGGAGGATCCGAGAAGCCAGGATCAAACAACCATTTTACACAGTGCAAAGGATTAACCCCTTAGGTTCCACAGTGACTATAACAAGCATGCTTTACTGCATATACAGAATGTGCAGAGTGACTCCTAGAGCTCTGTACTATCAGCAAATGGATTGGGGACAGTAGAAGAAGGGGAGGATCAGAGAAGACAGGATCAAACAGCCTTTTTACACAATGCGGAGCATTAACCCCTTAGGTTCCACAGTGAGTATATAACAAGCATACTTTACTGCATCTACAGACTGATTGTACTGTTGGGGGTTCAGTAACACTTTAAAAGAATTTCTTTTCTTTTTTTTTTAATTTCTTGGAAGGAAGCGTTGTATTTCAGCGTAGAGGGGAGCAGGGCTGGAAAACAAACAGGGCTGCGCCGGAGCCAAAGCACGCAGTTCGGAATGGGTATCGGCGTGTTGTCAGGAGCCGTGTTAGGTGGTTTGATGACGGTTTCAGTAAACGGATATCTTGCAGATCTGTGCCGGTGCCAATTCGCTATACACAGCTAATTAGAGGCATTAGTAACCCATCCTGCGCCACGCAGACGTGAAACGCATTGCCAGATCCTGGATGCGGCACCTCGCCCTCCGCTGTAATGGATTCTGTTGACCTATAAACCAATTTCTGTCTCTCTTTATGCCGGTCTTAGCTAATCGGTTTTTTTTCTCCTCTCTACAATATCCATTTTCTGCTGTAAATTACAAACGTGACTTTGCATCCCAGATTTTTATCCAAGCGAAATATTTTGAGCGCCGTGCCGGCAGAACATTTGGGTGGCGCATCTTATTAAGCGATCATTGCGTCTGCCAAGCTTCCCTTGCAATTACCGTCTTAAGCCGGAGCCGGCGTGTCACATTCCGCTCACAAAGATTCTTTCATCAGTTTCTAGTTTTGTTTTTTTTTTTTTTTTTCTTTGTATAATACGGATTATAAGTTGGAGACTCTGCAGGTTTTAGGCAGAAAAATAGCAATAAAAGAAATGTTATCTTTCATCCGTTGATGGCCGAGCTTTCTCTGTTTCTGCTGGAAGGTTTGTCCACTTTTTTTAAATTTATCTACCCTCCCCACTGACACCACCAACTGTGGAAGGGAGTTTCACATCCTTACCGCTCTAACAGTAAAGAACCTCGTACACAGTTTAACCACTTCCAGTCCGGACACTTTCCCCCCCTTCCTGTCCGGACGCTTTCCCCCCCCCCCTTCCAGTCCGGACGCTTTCCCCCCCTTCCAGTCCGGACGCTTTCCCCCCCTTCCAGTCCGGACGCTTTCCCCCCCTTCCAGTCCGGACGCTTTCCCCCCCTTCCAGTCCGGACGCTTTCCCCCCCTTCCAGTCCGGACGCTTTCCCCCCCTTCCAGTCCGGACGCATTCACCCCCTTCCAGTGCGGACGCTTTCACCCCCTTCCAGTGCGGACGCTTTCACCCCCTTCCAGTGCGGACGCTTTCACCCCCTTCCAGTGCGGACGCTTTCACCCCCTTCCAGTCCGGACACTTTCACCCCCTTCCAGTCCGGACACTTTCACCCCCTTCCAGTCCGGACGCTTTCACCCCCTTCCAGTCCGGACGCTTTCACCCCCTTCCAGTCCGGACACTTTCCCCCCCCCCTTCCAGTCCGGACACTTTCACCCCCCTTCCAGTCCGGACACTTTCCCCCTCTTCCAGTCCGGACACTTTCACATCCTTACCGCTCTAACAGTAAAGAACCTCGTACACAGTTTAACCACTTCCAGTCCGGACACTTTCACCCCCTTCCAGTCCGGACACTTTCCCCCCCTTCCAGTTCCGGACACTTTCCCCCCCTTCCAGTCCGGACACTTTCCCCCCCCCCTTCCAGTCCGGACACTTTCACCCCCTTCCAGTCCGGACACTTTCCCCCTCTTCCAGTCCGGACACTTTCCCCCTCTTCCAGTCCGGACACTTTCCCCACCCCCTTCCAGTCCGGACACTTTCACCCTCTTCCAGTCCGGACACTTTCACCCCCTTCCAGTCCGGACGCTTCCCCCCCCCCCCCCCCCTTCCAGTCCGGACGCTTTCCCCCCTTCCAGTCCGGACGCTTTCCCCCCCTTCCAGTCCGGACGCTTTCCCCCCCTTCCAGTCCGGACACTTTCACCCCCCCCTTCCAGTCCGGACACTTTCACCCCCCCCTTCCAGTCCGGACGCTTCACCCCCCCCCCCTTCCAGTCCGGACGCTTCCCCCCCCCCCCCCCCCTTCCAGTCCGGACGCTTTCCCCCCTTCCAGTCCGGACGCTTTCCCCCCCCCCCCTTCCAGTCCGGACGCTTTCCACCCCCCCCCCCCTTCCAGTCCGGACGCTTCCACACCCCCCCCCCCCCCCTTCCAGTTCTGGACGCTCCCCCCCCCCCCCTTCCAGTCTGGACGCTCCCCCCCCCCCCCCCCCCCCTTCCAGTCCTCCGGACACTTTCCCCCCCCCCCCCCCTTCCAGTCTGGACGCTTCCCCCCCCCCCCTTCCAGTCCGGACGCTTTCACCCCACCCCCCCCCCCCTTCCAGTCCGGACGCTTTCCCCCCCCCCCCTTCCAGTCCGGACGCTTTCACCCCCCCTTCCTTTCCGGACACTTTCCCCCCCTTCCAGTCCAGGCCAATTTTCAGCTTTCACGCTATCACACTTTGAATGACAATTGCACGGTCGTGCAACACTGTACCCATATGAATTTTTTAGAATTTTTTTTGAGACAGATAAAACTTTTTTCATGGTGGTATTTATTCACTGCTGGGATTTTTATTTTTTTGCTATATAAATGAAAAAGTCCAAACATTTTGAAAAAAATTTTTTCTTATAAATATTTGCAAATAAATAATCTTTCTTCATAAATCTTGGCCAAAATCTATTCAGTTATCTTTTTAGTAAAAAAAAAAAAATTAGTGCATAACTAAAAATGATAATTTAAAAAAAAATTTTTTTTTTACTTTTTTTTTAACATACTGTCACCCTAGCAGTAGTGTCACCATAGTGACACTGTACTACTTGTGGGGGGTGATGAAGATTTTTTTTGATTTTTTTTTTACACTGATTGCTTTTACACCCATAAAGGCTGTAAAAGCAATCATTTCTCCTTCTCTCTGGCTGCATTCTTGCAGCCATTGAGAAATACTGAGTGAGCTGTGATTGGTCACAGCTTGGCACTTGGGCAGCAGGAGCCATTGGCTTCCACTGCTGTCAGTCATATCCTGTGATGAGGGGCGGGGCCAAGCCACACTTTCTATGTCTATGGCTGCAAGCAGTTCAGCTCAGGATCCAGCCCACGGGTTTGCCACCATAGGAAGCAGCTTTCTATGGTGGCACATCCAGAAGGAGAGGAGCCAGGAGTGTCGGTGGGGGACCCCAGAAAGAGGAGGTTTGGGGCCACTCTGTGCAGTACTCCCCCTCCCAGCACCTCTGCTAAGTAACCTGTGTAAGATAGATGTGTATACTTACCTATTCTCAGCCTGCTCTGGTCATGTGATCACTGGCGGCAGCCAGCGGCGGCTGCAGGAGAAAGAAGAGAGCACTCCGACAATGGCTAATGCAGGCTATAGACGGTTCGTTTATCGGCTGAATTTTCGGCCGAAAAATGAAAAATCGGTCATTCTGTTGCCACCAATGCTTACAAAAATCATCTGTTTTTCATAACTTTTCCAGCATGACCGATAAAAGAAACAAGGAGGAACCGCGAACATCAGCCGACGACATTGCCCCACGAACAGTGCGAATATCGGCCAATTATTCTTTCGGACAAAAATTCGGGCCGATAAACGAACCGTCTATGGCCTGCCTCAGTAAAGCCTGGAGCGGTGATGTCACCCTTATGCAGGCCATAGACTGTTCGTTTATTGCCCGAATTTTCGCCCGAAAGAACAATCGGCCGATATTCGCACCGTTAGTGGGGCAATGTCGTCAACCGATTTTCGCGGTTCCTCCTCGTTTCTTTTGTCGGTCATGCTGGAAAATTTACGAAAAACGGCCTGATTTTCGTAAGCATTTGTGGCAACAGAACGACCAATTTTTTTTCGCTATTCGGCCAATAAACGAACCGTCTGGCCTGCCATAGGTTCCATCTGTCGCCGGAACTCCTTCCTGTCCCCTGCAGCTGACTGGCTGACAGGGGAGCCAGATCACGTGACTGGACCAGAGCTGGCTGAAAATGGTTGGCTGTATGCAATGGGCGTCCTACAACGATGCTGTCCCAGGCACTGAGTCCTTGGGTCATGCCTGGAGCAGAGCTACACTAGTAATGATGAATGGGCGCTCCTCTTCCCCAGACATCTCCATCACCACCCTATGTGCCATCTCTGCCGTGGCAGCGTGAACAGCGATACCGCTGGATGTGTACTTCAATGCCAGCAATAAAATGGATGATTGTTCGCTGCTCTGCGGCACCGTTCTGCCTGAGGGGATTTTATTACCACAATTCTCCTTTTTTGATGGATTACATGTTATTTCATCAGCTTTGCCGATAGGAACCACATGCTGTCTGTGTGGTATTAAACCCGAAAACATTCATTTATTATGTTGCTGCTTATTAGTTCTTAGATGTGATGGCTGCATTAGTTTTCTTTTTTATAAGTTTTTTTTTTTCTGTTTTCATCTGGTGATCCAGCCAGTAAGTCTGTTGTTTTTCAACAGAAAAGCTCTCTTGCAGTTACAGGGATGGGACAAACCATTTATCACTGACCGGGGGTGCTTACAATGTTTTGCTTTTATTCATTCATGTAAAACACGGGCGTCAAAGTGGCGGCCCTCCAGCTGTTGCCAAATTACAAGTCCCATGAGGCGTTGCAAGATTGAAAGTTATTTATTATTTATTTCAGGTACTTATATAGCGTCGTCAATTTCCGCAGCACTTTACATATATATTGTACAGTCACATCAGTCCCTAACCCTCAAGGGGCGTACAATCTAAGGTCCCTAACCCTCAAGGGGCGTACAATCTAAGGTCCCTGACCCTCAAGGGGCGTACAATCTAAGGTCCTTAACCCTCAAGAGGCGTACAATCTAAGGTCCCTGACCCTCAAGGGGCGTACAATCTAAGGTCCCTAACCCTCAAGGGGCGTACAGTCTAAGGTCCCTAACCCTCAAGGGGCGTACAATCTAAGGTCCTTAACCCTCAAGGGGCGTACAATCTAAGGTCCCTGACCCTCAAGGGGCGTACAATCTAAGGTCCCTAACCCTCAAGGGGGCGTACAATCTAAGGTCCCTAACCCTCAAGGGGCGTACAATCTAAGGTCCCTAACCCTCAAGGGGCGTACAATCTAAGGTCCCCCTAACCCTCAAGGGGCGTACAATCTAAGGTCCGTAACCCTCAAGGGGTGTACAATCTAAGGTCCCTAACCCTCAAGGGGCGTACAATCTAAGGTCCCTAACCCTTAAGGGGCGTACAATCTAAGGTCCCTAACCCTCAAGGGGCGTACAATCTAAGGTCCCTAACCCTCAAGGGGCGTACATTCTAAGGTCCCTAACCCTCAAGGGGCGTACATTCTATGGTCCCTAACCCTCAAGGGGCGTACAATCTATGGTCCCTAACCCTCAAGGGGCGTACAATCTAAGGTCCCTAACCCTCAAGGGGCGTACAATCTAAGGTCCCTAACCCTCAAGGGGCGTACAATCTAAGGTCCCTAACCCTCAAGGGGCGTACAATCTAACGTCCCTAACCCTCAAGGGGCGTACAATCTAAGAACCCTAACCCTCAAGGGGCGTACAATCTAAGGTCCCTAACCCTCAAGGGGCGTACAATCTAACGTCCCTAACCCTCAAGGGGCGTACAATCTAAGAACCTAACCCTCAAGGGGCGTACAATCTAAGAACCTAACCCTCAAGGGGCGTACAATCTAAGGTCCCTAACTCACATTCATACATACACATACTAGGGACAATTTAGACAGGAGACAATTCACCTACCAGCATGTCTTTGGAGTGTGGGAGGAGACCTGAATACCCCAAGGAAGCCCACGCAGGCACAGGGAGAACATGCAAACTCCAGGCAGGTGGTGCCATGGTTAGGATTTGGACCAACGATCTGAGTACTGCTAACCATTTAGCCGCTGTGCTGCCCATGATTTCCCATGGGTTCTATCTGACTGGCTGCAGCTTCAAGAACCCAAGAGCTTTTCCACTTTGCCGTATTCTCTGTGTGTAATTTGTATCTAAAATGTTCACATAAAGGAACTTTGGCATAAGCCGGGTTGAAAATACTGTTTTGGGCAATACACAGACAGTCATTTGCTCAATATTTCTCCTCGTTTTGGATATTTTAGACGAGTGTTTTCTTGTTGGTAGGAGAATGTAGTATATATTCAGTGTGCTCCGTCAGGCTGTGGGATGGTAATCTCCATTCTGTAGATAGAAGGTAAGGCCTCCTCTGAATGGCCTGATGTAGTCAAAGGGGTCCAGCAGAGGCGCTCTGTAATGGAGGGTAAAAAGTAATCAATTTTCTCCTAATCCCAGGAACTTGACACGAGGAGTGGGCAGATTCCGGGAAATCCTGAGGGCTGTAGAGACCAGAACCACGCAGAACCTGAGGATGGTGAGAGGAATACTATGTGTTGTCCTGCTTAGACCTCTGTTTGATGTCCTGTATTTTGTTATGGTATAGGAGCGCTATTTAGAACCCTGGTCCCCAACTTGTGACCTGAGGGCCATGCATTAGGTACTGGAGGTCTGCATGTGGCCCTAAAAGCCAGTATTGACAGTGGTAGCACTGGTTTGTAGAGGCTTTAATGGTAGTATCTTCTAGCAGTCTCATCTAACATGTCCCCAGTGCTTAACCATCTCCTGTCCACAGTCTCTGCCCATCTCCTGTAGTGTGTCTGCAGTCTCTGATCCTCTCCTGTAGTATGTCTGCGGTCTCTGACCCTCTCCTGTAGCATGTCTTCAGTCTCTGACCATCTCCTGCAGCATGTCCTCAGTATCT